CCTCGACGCGAAGCAGGTAGGCTGCAGCGCCGTCCGCGTGCGCGGGCGTCGGCTCGGCGGAGTCGTCTCCTCCGGCCTCGCCCTCTCCGCACCGCGTCCCCTTTGGCCCGAGGCGGGCGATGAGGGACGCGTACTGGTCGCAGACCTCGGCGGCCTGCCTCTCGTGGTCAAGCAGGCGGAGCTGGCCGAAGAAGCCGTGCGCGAACGAGTAGAACGCCTCTGGCAGCACACAGCCGCGCAGACTCGAGAGGCACTCTGCCGCCGTCGGCCGCTCCTCCGGCGAGAGAGCAACCATCCGGAGGAGCGTGTCGGCGAGCGGCGGCGGAGAGACGCGCTGCAGCAGCGCGCGCAGCTCGCCCGCGCCCTCGCCTGCTCACAGCCGGCGAGGCGTGAGGCGGCGCCGCTCGCGGCGGCGCGTGCTTCTCGCGCCGTCCTCTCGCCCTTTCGGTACCGCAGCAGCTTTGGCAGGTCGAAGGCCGGGCCGCACCTATTCATCGTTAACTCGTCATCGACTCAGTCACAGCCTTGGCAGGAGCAGGGCCGGGCCGCACTCGAGCAGGAGCTCGAGCAGCACGCAGCCGGCGGAGAAGACGTCCATCGCCGGCTGCAGCCCCGCCTGCTCACACCCTCACAGCACTGGAAGGGTGTGAAGCGCAGACCCGCCCGCTGCAGAGCACGCCAGCCTGGGCCGCGGGATGAGACGCGAGCGGTGCCTCGGCGAAGCGCTCCGGCGCCAGGTAGCACGAGCGGCGCGTGCCTCCGCCGTCAAAGTAGAAGGAGAAGTCCGCCGGGTCGTCGACCGGCAGCAGCGCCGGCTTGAAGTTGCCCAGGTCGGTGAGCAACACCCAGTGGCCGGAGGTGAGCAGCACATTCTCGCCCTTGATGTCTCCGTGCACGACTCCGGCGGCGTGGCACTGCGAGAGGGCGGAGAGGAGCTGGAAGGCGACCCACAGCTTCTCGTCGTGGCTCAGGAACGGAGGCGTCGCCGCGCGCTCGAGCAGCGTCGAGTGCAGGTACTGGCGCGCCAGGTAGGCGACGTGGGTCGTCTCGCGGAACCACCGGAACGGCATCACGTTGGGCGCCGCCTCGGCGGAGAGGCGCGCGCGCACCTCGGTGAGCATCTCGAGGTACGGCGCCAGCTTCTCATTCGGGGTGCGCTTGAAGTACACCTTGACGGCGAGCAGCTGCGCCGGCGCGCCGCTCCCGCCAACGCTCATCGCATACTTGAGCGTCTTTAGGAAGCGGCCGCCGCCGAGCCGCTCGACAAAGGCGAGCTGCTGCAGCTCTGGGAGGTTGTTGTAGTCGGGCTGGACGGAGCCGAGCTGGTTTCCCATGCTGTCGGTCGGCGCTGCGCCCGGCGTTTGGGCGACAGAAGTAAACCGGTCGTGTCCGGTCCGAGAATGACTTTTCATGACTTTCGATGCCACTCATGAAATGGGTCACTTATTTTGTGTCTCTGTTTTCTTTCTTTATGCATCGGCATCATTCTGAGCACTGAGGTGGTGCGTGAGAAAGGCTTTCTTTCGCTAGGGTGCCCACAGGGCCCAAAAAAAGAAACGAAAAACCAATGGGCCAACCCCGTTCGCAGCACTTCGTGTTGGAGAGTCGAGATATTGAGATTGTGAGTAGGAGGGAGGGACGCTGGGGGAAGGTATACCCTTGGAATGGCCGGATCCAGCCTTAAAAGTACGAGATCGCGCGCGCTTCGCGCGCTGCACCGCCTGTTCTCCGCGGCTGAGTGACGACGCGTGCCGTGTGCCAGCAGAGTTGGGCGCGCGCGGCGCGACGGCGCCCGCGAGGGAAGGCGCGGGTGCAGCGGCCGGCGGCGGTCGTACCGCTCGCCAGCCAGCGCAGCAGCGGCCAGCGCAGCGGCCGCCGGCGCAGCAGCCAGAGCAGCCGGTAGGGTTGCCTAACGTTAATTTGGGGCCTAACAGTTGCGCTATTGTTGGCTGAAATCCTCAACGTTGTTCAAGTGTTCTCCCCAGCCCATGCTGTTACTGTTTGTTACTGTTGTTACTGTTGTTCAGCGGCCAGCAAGCAGAAAATGGCAAAAAACCCGGGTAAAACCCGAAAATACCTGGGATTTTCCGGGTATTTTCGGGTATTACCCGCACTGGACACTAGAGATCGTCGTGGGTCACTGCCAGGCCTTCCTTACTGTTGTTCAGTCGGCCTAACGTTAGCTACGGTTGTTGGGGGGCCCCACTGTTGTTCTGTTGTTACTGTTAACACTAGCAACACTGTTCAGCTCTTAACGTTAGGCAACCCTAGCAGCCGGTGCGCGCCTTGCGAGGCGAGTACTGCCGCCCGGCAGCCTTGAGGCGGCCAGTCCCAGATCGGATGGATAATATCGTCAGGGCCCCACGCCATATTCGTGACGCGACAAGGGCGGGTCAGGGCGCGCGCGAGGGCGGGCGGGGCTCGTGCGGGTCGTTCGTGGACGGTCCCACCAAACAGTACTACACAGTAGTCATGACTCATGTAAGAATAACATGCTTTGCGCGCGCAACCACACACAACGCAGCAGCTTGAGCCAAGGGTGGGGTGCACAAGGCTACCGGTGCGGTGTTGACGTTTTCTCTCCACGCGCACATGTTGCGTTGTACATGTCTCGGGGTGGCCCCCCACCGCGCCTCCCCTCTCTTGTCTCTATCGCACCCACGTGCGCCCGCTTGCTGACCCCCGACACCCTCCCGCCCACTCGCCCCTAGTCACTGAGAAAGGTGAGGGCGCACCGCTCTGCCACGCCCGTGTCGATGCCAAAGGCGGCCGACTGCGCGGCAAAGCGCATGACGCCCTCCTGCAGGCTGGCCGAGTCCTTTGGCGCCGCGGCCAGCCCCTGGATGATCTTCTTCCACTGGTCGTCCAGGTTGACGCGCGCGCCCTCCCAGCGCGGGTCGAAGCGCGTGTGCGGCAGCAGCTCGCAGTCGGCGCCCTTGCGCGTGAGCTTGTCCTCCTCGATGGTGAACATCATCTCGAGCGAGTTGTGCGCGGCGAGCAGCGGCAGCGTTGCGCCGCGCCGGACGCGCGTCTCGGCGGGCTGCA